TTTTTTTTTTTTTTTTGAAGAGTTAAATTTTTATTTTGTCAATATACATTGTATATGATTATTATGGCCCATCACCGACACCTCCCTCCTTCCTCCCTCTCTCCCCTCCCCCCCCAAGAATGTCCTTTCCATTTGCTTGTTATAACAATTTCAAAAAGGTATAGTTGTTATATCTTCTCCCCTCCCCCTGCCCCGGTTTTTTTTGTGTGTGTTTGTGGGTGAATTAATTTGTTTATTTTTTTAGCTCCCACCAATAAGTGAGAACATGTGGTATTTCTTTTTCTCTGCCTGACTCGTTTCTCTTAATATTATTCTTTCAAGGTCCATCCATGTTGTTGCAAATGGCAGTATTTCATTCGTTTTTATAGCTGAGTAGTATTCCATTGTGTAGATATGCCACATTTTCCGTATCCACTCATCCGATGATGGACATTTGGGCTGATTCCAGCTCTTGGCTATTGTAAAGAGAGTCTAGAGCAGAGGAGTAGGGTATCACAACCAGTTATTCAGCCAAGGATCAGCATCCCAAAATCTTGTTTTCCTCTCTCAAAACAGAATCTCCCTCAAGGAAGAACTTTTCTATATGTTCTTATATGTTTCCTATAATGTTTTATAATTATACAGTATGCAAAGAGGAAACTTGAATGAGAGCTACTAGTGCTTATGGCACAAGGCAGAGTATAAACTTGGGTCCAAAGTCATTGACCAAACACATTTTCTTTCCAAAATGTTTTTTCCTATCTTTGCTTTTTTTTTTTTTTTTAAACATGGAACAGAATGTTAATAAGGTAATAAAGAAAAACTTTATTCCAAGGCCTGGACTAGAGTTCAATCAAATCCACACTCCTCTTTTAGAACCTGGAAGCCATCTGGCTATCTTTGCAGAGTTAACAATTTGCATTTGTGAAAATGTCCAGGTAATAATATAAAAAGATGTTAAATCAATTCAGGTTGTTGATTTTCTTTGAAAATATCTTCCAAAAGGACTTGGTGTTCTTTCTGGAATATGATTTAAGGTCTGGAATATGATTTTCTCTGAGTTCAGTTCAGCAAGTATTTGTTGAGCATCTATTGCTTGCAAAGCATGGCGCTCAGGACTCAGGGGATATAAGGTTGAAAAAAAAAAAAGATCCCTCCCTTTTAGTAGCTCAAAATCTAGTTAGGGGAAATGTGGTTAAATAAGTTTAATCAAAAGCACACCGTTATCTAGGTTCAAACAATGGGATATGGAAGTATAAAGGAGGTAGACTCATTCCAACTAGGATGACTAAGGAAGGTTCCTGAGAGTATGTGGGGCTTGAACTGGACTTCAGTTCCTGAATACTAAAAAAACTGCATTCCATTGTCTCTTGACAGCAGCCAATTTCTTTTGCCATTTGAGAATGGATTTGGGGACTCTAGGGAATGCTGATTAGTTCCATCACCAATGCTGATTAGTGATGAATGTTGAATCATGCTGACTAATGTGTTCTAAATGAATTGACTCAACAATAAAGAGAACGTTGAGAGTCAAGAGTTCAGATCCTGAATTTCACCGCATGTTGAAGTGTAAATCACTTAGCCTCTTAGTGCTTTTTTTTTTTTCTTGGTCAATTAAAATGTGCTCATGATGAGAATCCAATAATTCACCTTGACTAGTAAGTGCTTTACAAACCTCAAGGATAACAGAAATGCTTAACAACAACTACTGGGGCAGGCTTATGCAACCCTGGGTTATTCATAGCACATATAGAATCAGAACATCCATCACATGCTGCTTGCTAGCCATGCGAAACTTCTGTTTCCTCATACAGGCCACGAAAACTGACAAACAATGAACCGCACTCACAAAAACTGACAAATAGAAGCGCCTTTGAAAAATCTTCCTATCTACCTACTGGGGCGTCTGTGTCTTTCTACAACAAATGTCGCCACAGAACCAAGAGCCTGCATTGCATACACAGCTCTTTCTCTCTTTTGACATCTCCCCAGCTAGACTGCTTGAGAACCTGGCCTTCCATGTCCAGATGTTTACTGAATTCTGAAGACCCCCCAAAGGGCCCAAGTTCTTTTGTTGCTCTCCAAATCATTTCCCACAGAGACTGACCAGTGTCCTGAAGGAGCCCTTCAATAGGGAGGATAAATGAAGGCAGATGAAGACATGACCCCCTGAGGCTTGCCCACATCCACTCTAACAAAGGGTCTGAGGCACAACCTTGTAAGGAGTGTTTTGGTCAGCAGCGTCCCTATGAGAGGCCAAGTCTCCCCCACAGGGCTGCTTTCAATGGCTATCATCATAGTAGAAGTATTGGGCATTTGTTAAGGGCTGTGGTGTGCTAGGTGTAGCACAAAACATCTAAATCATGGTCCCTGCCTTTGTGAGGGCTTCCTGGCTACATACAGATGGCAGCTGGCTTTCTCAGGGGAAACTTGGGGGCAGTTGAGAAAGCTGAAGAGGAGCTCCCACTTCTTTGTATGACCTCTTCCTACCCAGTGCAGATAGACTCCCCTTTTGTCTACAGCTTTGGGCAGTCTATCCAGGGCTGTGGGACCTTAACCCATGCCTGTACGGTGTTTCCCGTGTCTCTGGTTTGCAAGGCAGTTACTGGCTTTGTGGGTAACAGGTACGGAGGATTGCTGCTGTAGGGAAAGTTTTACTTAGTTGCTGGCGGGAAGTTAGTGTGTTTCATGACCACATTTTTTTCAAACTTTCTTGCCCTCTTTCTTTTTTCTTTTAGGCCAACAGAGGCCATAGGTATACTGTGACCTTTGTCTAGAGCTGATGGGGGCGTGATTCGTGAAATGAAACAGGACTGTGCTGCTTGGAAGAAGGAAACGGAAGCCAACATAATGGGGATTAATTAGTTGATTGCTGTTGAGATGGTAACAGATTTACTCCTAGACCATGGAGCCAGTGATTTCAGACCTAGCAGGGAAGGTGAAGATGAAGAAGCCATTGTTTGGGTCTCTAGATGTGTAGGGCTGAGGGCTTTGCCTCCATGGGATGTCAACAGCCATAACAATAATAATTTGCACTTATATAGCACCTTTCAACCAGGCACCACAAAGCGGTTTAACCACATTAATTAATTAAAGCCCACAATCCCCCTGGGGAGAGGAGGAGGATGACTAATAAGATTTGTGATTACAAGAGGGAACATTTCCGAATAAAGTATTGTCCACCAAATAAAAAGAGTAGGTGTAAAGGAATCGGGATCTCCAAAGAGTAACTGATTCAGAAATGAAATCATGGAATGACAGGAGGAGACCCGGGTGGGCATGGACGTGGGGGTCTGCTCTTGTGTCAGAGGGAGGTCGATGGCCTCAGAATTCACTGACAGGTTCAGATCCAACTGAGAAGCGGAGCATGTATGGTATTAGTGGCATTTGGAAGGTCATTAGTGGCGTAACTATTGTAGTGTAAATCCAAGTTTCACTGGTATATTGTGTATAGCCCTGCAGAACAAAGAGTGAGATTCATGCAGTATTTAATCAAGGATGAAATGATTTCTTTAGATTTAAAGCCCAAAGCTGGGCCAGTTAATTAGCAAATAAATCAACTAGTGACCCATAGGATAATTTAGTCGTTTCCAGTAGAACGCCCAGCCTACTTGCTCCCACTACCATGAGGCTTCTGACTGAAGTATCAGGCTGGGTTTAATGCAAGGTCTGGGGGCTTCAGCCCCTTCAAAGTCAGGCATTCAATCTTCCCAGCCTTTAGGACCCCTCTTACCCAAGTTGTTAGTGACCCCAAGCTGTCCTACATAAAATCACTTTGTACCTACTCCCCCTTCCACAATTTTACATGCCTTGGGGCTAGAATCAAGTCTTATCCCATTCCGTGTCTCCTATCAATGCCCAACAGAAGGCTGCTTATTTTTGTACCCTCTTGAGGACATCTCTTTCATCTATAGTTAAGTCATCAAAGGCTTATTGGTTTTGGTTTTGAGTCACTTAATAGGTACCTTTGGCTTAAAAGAAGAAAAAGGTAAATAAACATATATGCTTTTTCTTGTTAATCTGTCTTTTGTTACAGGGGTCTCAGCCATGAACCTTGCAAGAGGTGAGGACTTTGTCTCCCCTACCTTAGGAAAGATGTTGTTTGTTCCCTGTAACTCTTTATTTGGTCTCTCTTTACTTTCACTGTCCACTAAGAAAGAAAAGCCAAATGGTTCACACATTAAAATGAGTCACTCAAAAGTGTCTGAAAAAGTAAGAGGAAGACATATCCCAATCCCAGACGTCAAAGACTAAATGGGTTCCTCCTCGACTACTTTTTTTGACCCCACTAAACACTAAGACAGTGCTCTACCCACAGTAATTATCAAATCCATACAGTACTCTCCTGCAAACCACACTGCTGGAACAGGACCTATTGCATACTGAGCACTTGCTGCACGTCTGACATTCACTTTACATGCAGAAGCTTATCTAATCCTTCTAACAATCTCATAAGATAAGACTTCATATAGTCCTTTACTGAAGAGGAACTGGTGCAAGAGAGTCTTGCTGGAAACGACAGAATGTGGATATGAACCCGTGTAGTCCTGCACCCTCCTGTCTCTCACCCCTTGCCCATGTAGTGTTTCTGTTCACCTCCATTACAACTTCCCTTATTCATCCTCAATTTACTAAAGTACTCAGCACAATACTATTTGCACAGTAGTATAGGAACTCAGCGAATATTTTCCAAATAAACAAATCACTAGGAGCAGTACTGGTGGTTTGATCTTCCACTCTGAGCATTGGCTGCAGAAGGCCTGGGCAGTGATGCTGAGAATATAGTAGAGGCTCCATCTCTGCCTTCTTCTCATTTCGCCATTACTAAAGATTAGGAGACATGCACAGGAAAGCTGCCCCCAGGGAATGTTCACAAGAAAGAAGACACAGGTGGTATTCTTCCCTGTGCACTGAAAATCTGCCAAACTAGTACCACCCATGAGATGCTAGGAAGGCATCTTGTATTGTTAATTACTTTTACAGAAAGTAATTAACAATATAATTCAGAGATTTTTATTTTTAGGTATGTGCGTGTATATATATATATATATATATATATATATATATATATATACACACGTGTGTGTGTGTGTGTTGCAAAGTCCAACTTTGTCTCCCTGATTGTGCTAGACTCCTAGCTATGCTGTTGAGGCAGTGCCGTCCTGGTGAAGATTCAGAAGTGTGTGGATGCTGTCAGCCCACAGAGTGAAGAACCTTTCTGGATTAACCCAAATATGCTGAACTCTGTGCTCACTGTCTTTTAGGTGACATGTTGTGAGCAAAGCAAAGTTACTACTCGGAGATAGGACTATAAAAGTTTGTCCAGCAAAGCCAGGATTGCTAACTGAGAATTCTGGAAATGGAGGATAAGGATTAGGTCATGGGGAAGAAGTGGGTGAAGGCAAGAAGTGTGAAATATCTGATGCTGGCCTAAAAACTGTGGTCTTAGAACAATTTGGAAGTGTTATTTTTTCCAAGCTTTAGTTTCATTATCGCTACCATCATTTGTCCTATGGCTATAACTTTATTCCACTCCAAAATCCAAAGAGGACTCTTCTGTTCAAATGGAAGGTAGGAAGGAGCCATTACATTTCTCAGCTGAATATCCTAAGTGTGAAAAAAAAAAAAACACCACCTACTTCTCTGAATTTCACTGAGAACAGGGTTCAGATGGGGCACAAATTTTCCAGAACTCCAATAGATCTGGGAGGAGAGAAAACCAGTAAATCACTGGGTATAAGTCAGGACAGATTTGGTTTTGCTGCCTAACATACAACCCTCCAAAATCTCAGTGACTTCAAACACAGTCGATGCATGCCTGAGACACTCTCCAAACAAAGCTCTCCTCCATGTGGTGACTCAGTACTGCACTTCAGTATCAACATGCACTTCCACAATTGCCACAATGGGGGAAGAGATGGACTGGGGGGGGGGGGGGGGGGGGGGGG